TCTCTTTTTTTTTTTTTTTTTGAGTTGGAGTCTCACTCTCTCGCCCAGACTAGAGTGCAGTGGCCGTTCCCGGCCACCGCAGCCTCGACCTGCTGGGCTCCGGCGATCCTTCCGCCTCAGCCTTCCAAGTAGCTGGAACTACAGGCGTGCGCTACCATGCCAGCTCATTTTTTTGATTTGCTGTAGAGATGAGGTCTCACCAAGTTTCCCAGGTGGGTCTTGAACCCACAGGCTCAGGCAATCCATTCACCTCAGCCTCCCAAGGTGCGGGATTATAGGCTGAGCCACCGAGCCCGGCTCAGGCAATTCTCATGCCTCCATATTTCCAAGTGGTGGGATTACAGGCATCAGTCACCGCCTCCAGCAACAGTGACTGTTAAAAGTAGAATGAAGAGATGAGAAATTAAAATTTATTTCTATAATTTCCTTAATACCTAAATTGGTGCTTGGCTTTTCAGGTATAATTTGGAGGCCACTGCTATTGTTAATAAAAGTTATTGTTTTTTTGTTTTACAGTGGACAAATAAAACTAGCAGATTTTGGACTTGCTCGGCTTTATAACTCTGAAGAGAGGTGAGGCATTTCTTAAAATTACATGTGGGAAATAAGAAAGAGTTCTTTTCATTCTTGGATGTTATAGTATTCTGCAAGTGCAGCAACTGTCAGAGTTTCCTAATTATCTGAATGTGTTATCTCTTAGATTTTACTTTTTAAAAAATTAAAAATTTTTTTATATAGAGACGGTGTCTTGCTATGTGGCGTAGGCTGATCTCAAACTCTTGGGCTCCAGCAATTCTCCCACCTCAGTCTGGGATTACAGGCATAAGCCATCACACCTGACTGAGCTACAGTTTTTTTTTTTTAATCTATTTATTTATTTCTGAATAGGCGTTTCACTCTGTCACCCAGGCTGGAGTGCAGTGTCACGCTCACGGTCACCTCAGCCTCAACCTGCTGGGCTCAGGTGATCCTTCTGCCTTAGCCTTGCAAGTAGCTGGAAGCACAGGCATCCATCATCATGCCTGGGTAATTTTTTTGATTTATCGTAGAGACACCAAGTTGCCTAGGCTACTCTCAAACCCCTGGACTCAGACAATCCTGCCTCCTTTACCTTCCAAAGTGCTAAGATTATAGGCATGAGCCATTGTGCCCTGCTGACCTAGATTTTAAATTTCTATTTAATTCTTTAATCATCCTGTGGCTGAAATAAATAAATAAATTGGAATGGAAGTTATTTCTTCATCTACTTTCCAGTTTACTTTTAGACTATTAGGTTGCCATGAAGCTATTTTAACAATCTCATCTTCAATTGGCAGCTATTTTTGTTTGCATTTAGTTTCACAAGTTTTTTTTTTTTGAGTTGGAGTCTAACTGTCGCCCAGACTGGAGTGCAGTGGCCGCTCCCGGCCACCACAGCCTCGACCTGCTGGGCTCTGGCAATCCTTCCGCCTCAGCCTTCCAAGTAACTGGAACTACAGGCGCACACTACCATGCCGGGCTAATTTTTTTTTATTTATTGTAGAGATGAGGTCTCACCTGCCCAGGCGGGTCTCGAACCAGTAGGCTCAGGCAATCCACTCACCTCAGCCTCCCAAAGGCGTGGGATTACAGGCTGAGCCTCCGAGCCCGACTTTCACAAGTATTTTTTATCAGAAGCCATTGTAAATTTATGTCATGGTTGTTTTTTACATTTCAGTCGCCCTTACACAAACAAAGTCATTACTTTGTGGTACCGACCTCCAGAACTGCTGCTGGGAGAAGAGCGTTATACACCAGCCATAGATGTTTGGAGCTGTGGGTAAGGTTCTCTCTCTCTTTTTTTTTTTTTTTTGTCTATAACTCACATATTGCTGGTTGGTACTCTCTTTCCTGTCTATGTTGGTTTTTTGCAACTCTTCCTTCTTAAGTTCAAAAGGATGAGGAAAAACTTTTGGCCAGATTGTAAAGAAATCTGTTGTGTGTTGTTGTTTTAAGTTGGAATTTCATCCTGTCATGCAGGCTGGAATATAGTAGCATGCTCTCAGCCACTTGCAGCCTCAACCTCCTGGATCAGGTGATCCTTCTGCCTCAGCCTTCCAAGTAGCCGAAACTACAGGCATGCGCTACTATGCCCAGCCTGAATATTTCTTTTTTTTTTTTGAGTTGTAGTCTCACTCTGTTGCCCAGGCTTGAGGGCAGTGGCACGCTCCCGGCCACTGCAGCCTCGACCTACTGGGCTCCGGCGATCCTTCCGCCTCAGCCTTCCAAGTAGCTGTAACTACAGGCACGCGCTACCACGCCTGGCTAATTTTTTGATTTATTGTAGAGATGAGGTCTCGCCATGTTGCCCATGTCTTGAAACCCGCGAGCTCAGGCAATCCACTCACCTCAGCCTCCCAAAGGCGCGGGTTTACAGGCTGAGCCACCGAGCCTGGCGAATATTTCTTAATAACACAGACACACTTTTTTTGGAAATTTTTTTTTATCTTTTAACTATTTAACTTGGGATCCAAATGAGAAATTTGAATCATACTTGCAATTGACTATCTCTAGTTTTTAAATTATACATTCCCCTTTCATGTCTCCTGATTTTGTGTTATTTTGTTTCCTTACAGTTTTTTTTTTTTTTTTTTAGAAGAAGCTAGTTCACTTGTCTTATAGATCCTCTTTCAGTCTGGATATTACTAATTGTATTTTCATGATTTTTTTTTTTTTTTAGCATGGTTCTTTATTTTTTGAGATCTGGTCTTTCTGTGTTTCCCAGGTTGCAGTCTAGTGGCTACACACGGGATTGATCATAACATACTATAGTCTTGAACTCCTGTGCTCAAGCAATCCTCCTGCCTCAGCCTCCTGAGTAGGTGGGACGACAGGCATTCACTGCTATGTCCAGCTTATTTTTTATGTTTTTTGTAAATTGTAAGTGAATTCAAGGTTGATTCTGAACCATCCACTGCCCGAAACTACTTTACAGATGGTTTTGAGTACTTCTAACAGAAGTTATATAATCAATGGTACATCAAAAATGGAGGTAGGGAGCAATGGAATCCTCTGCCCAGAGTACAAGCAATAACTGAGTGCGTTATCTGTAGAAAATTTTAGGCCGGGCTCGGTGGCTCAGCCTGTAATCCTAGCGCTTTGGGAGGCCGAGGTGAGTGGATTGCCTGAACCCGCGGATTCGAGATCCGCCTGGGCAACTTAGTGAGACTTCATCTCTACAATAAATAAAAAATTACCCGGGCGTGGTAGTGTGCACCTGTGGTTTAGCTACTTGGAAGGCTGAGGTGGAAGGATCGCCAAAACCCAGCAGGTCGAGGGTGCGGTGGCCGGGAGCAGCCACTGCACTCCAGTCTGGGCGACAGAGTGGGACTCCAACTCAAAAAAAAAAAAAAGGAAAGAAAATTTTAAAACAACAAAACAATTCATTAAAATTAGTCATCCTTTTATTATGGCCTTGTGACAATAGCTCTAAACAAAGACAGATTTACTCAGACACGCCAGTTTACATAATGTACAGTTGTCTCATTTTGAGATTTTTGTGTGTTTTTTTTGGTTTTTTTTTTTTTTTTGAGTTGGAGTTTCACTCTGTCGCCTAGACTGGAGTGCAGTGGCTGCTCTCAGCCACCGCAGCCTCAACCTGG